AACAAACTCCAACAGATCCCTAAGAAGAAAAACACCAAAACATATAACCAAACGTTTGCAAACCAAAGACAAGGAAGGAAATCTGGTAACAGCTCAAGAAACACAAAAAGTTACCAACAAAGGGAAACTAGTAAGACTAAGCTCTGGTTTCTTAGAAGAAACCATGCAGGCAAGAAGACAATATATATAAAATTCTGAAAGAAAAAAATTACCAGCCAGCAAAACCACACATCCACATAACAGTAAAATTAGGCCATTTTTCAGATAAAAAGAAACTGAAGCAATTTGTAAAAACCAGGCCAACCTTACAAATATACTGAAGAGTTTGTTGGCCAGAGAACCAACACCAGCAGATAACCCTGACACTAACATACATGACAGTGTTACATAAACCAACCCAGATGTAGAAGTATGCAAAACAGACCTGTAAGACTGAAAAGAGAGAACCAGAGACATAGTTGCAACACAAACAAAAAACCATAAAGTAAAAAGAGGGAATCATCCGGTTACAGAATTACTAAATGAAGAAATCACATAAATTAAGAAAACATTTTAAAAATAACTTTAACCTTGAAAATTAGACCAAGCCTTACTCCTAGCTCTAGCCCATCCTCACCCTTAATACTGACCCTAATCCTAACCACAACCCTCTGGTAGCATAGTGGTTACGAATTGGGCTGTGAACCCAAGGTCAGCAGTTCGAAGCTACCAGCAGTTCAGCAGGAGAAAGATAAGGCGTTCTGCTCCTGTAAAGATTTACAGCCTCGGAAACCCTGTGCAGGGTCACTATGAGTCGGAACTGACTCCACGGTACTTAACAACAACAACAGTCATAGTCCTAACCCTAACCCTCACTCCTTACTCCTACCCATTCCCCACCAAAAAAACTTTTGTTTAACAATAGTTTTCCAAGCAAAAGCACTGACCTATTTTGTGCACTGCCGTGGAGATAGACAATAATTGGGTTGCCATCATGGAGAGCTGCCTCATACCAGCAACGATCCTTCCCCTCAGCATCTTCACCCCGGCAGCTTGGGACTGTGTGCCTGAAAAGGACGGGAAGGCTTTAGCAAACATGTGCACAAAGAAAAAATTCTCTCTATTCTTGCCAAAGTCTGAAATCTAAAACCCTCCTATGGAGAAGTTAGTGCTACTTGGAAAAACCTGAAAGTTTTTCCAATGCATTTTCCTCCCTCTGGTAGCATAGTGGTTACGAATCGAGCTGCGAACTGCAAGGTCAGCAGTTCGAAACTACCAGCTATTCCGTGGGAGAAAGATGAGGCTTTCTGCTCCCATAAAGATTTACAGCCTCAGAAACCCTGTACAGGGTCGCTATGAGTCAGAACCGACACCATGGCATATAACAACAACAACATATGCATGAAGGTGACTCAGAAAGTATTGCTACAAAATCAAAAACATTAGTTAAAAATATCAAAATGTGAAGCTATTGTTTCTTGACATTATCTCCACAAAGGTCTCTATACTTCTGAAGGTAGTGTTCCATCTCCTTATTTTTCCCCTAGAAATCTGCACCTTTCGATTTACACTACTTCAAAACGGCAATTTTGGCATCTTTGAAGGACTCAAATAGTGTTCCTTTTCAATGTTCTTTGAATTTGGTGAACAAAAAAGAATGAGTAATATTACCCAACAAATTTTTCATACAACAGACCTTAAATAAAAGAATATTACAACTAGGTCTGCTGCACTTTAGACATGCTATCAGGAGGGACCAGTTCCTGGAGAAGAACCTCATACTTGGTAAAGTAGAAAAGGCTTGTGAAAGAAAGAGACCCTCAATAAGAGGGACTGACAGACAATGCCTGCAACAATGGCCTCGAGCATAAGAAAGACTGTAAAGACAGTGTAGGAACAGGCAGTGTTTTGTTCTGTTGCACATGGGTCACTATAAGGTGGAGCCAACTCAAACACATGTAAAAAAAAAAACAAAAAAAACCCAACAATATGAGTAAGCAGTTAACTAGGCAAAAGGTGGGAGGAGGAGGGGCAGAAAGATAGAAGTGTTTCAGATAGTACATACCCTGGGAGGATGTGACATCCTTGACATCCAAGGAGGCCAGTGTGTCTGCAGTACTGTGAGGGAAAGGGTTGAATAAGCAGGAGAGTTGGGCAGTGTCTGGTAAAAGACCCAAAGCAAAGAGCATGTTCTGAAAGGTATCATACAGCAAAGTAAAATTTCTGGAAAGCAAAACCAAGCACGTCAAAAAAAAAGGGGAAGGTGTAGTGAAAACTTTCCAGGTGTCCCAAGGAGCAACGATTTCTCCAAAGACAACTTGCATGGCACTGCTCTGACCTTGACCTCATAACATGGGAAACTTATTCAAAAAGCAAACCAGTGTCCAACCATTGCACTCACCAGATTCCCAAAATCACCCCAGGCTCCACTTTGATATAGAAGTTCACTGTGTGAGCAATCTTTTTCTCTGGTTTCTTTAAATCCACAAGATATGGTGCGTTGTCTAGAAAGGAGACATTGTTATCAACTTCTAGAGTTCCATGTCTTTTCATCACAATCCAAAAATAATTATCCTTTATGATTTATGCATTTCTACATTTCTAAGTTTTAAACTGAGGAGTTCTGGTAACGTAGTGGTTACAAATCGGGCTGCAAACCTTAAGGTCAGCAGTTTGAAACTACCAGCTGTTCCGCGGCGGGAGAAAGATGAGGCTTTCTACTCCCGTAAAGGTTTACAGCCTCGAAAGCCCTATACAGGGTCGCTATGAGTAGCTTCCGATTCCATGGCATATAACCACCACCACCAAGTTGTAAGCTAAATTGGAGTTTTGGTGTTGCACTGTAAGATAAATACTGGATCACTAACCACAAGGTTGGTGATTCAAATCCATGTCAGAAACCCTACACAGGGTCACTATGATTCGGAACCAACTCGATGGCGCTTAACAACAAATTGTAAACTACAATACTTAACTCTTAGCAAAGTATTTTACTTTAAAAACTAAGACTAGCTAAAAGAAAAGTTTCAAGGGAAAAAAAATCTACAGCAAGATTTTATCAATGAGAAAACAACTGAGTTTATTCAATCCTAATCTCTGTCTCAAGCTAAAAACAGAACACTATTTCAGGTCTGCTACTTACACCAACCATTATTTTTTCACTAAAATCAAACCATCACTCATGTATGAGTTTGTTGTAATCTGGTGACTGGTGTTTTGCTGTGATTCTAGAAGCTATGCCACTGGTTTTTAAATACCAGCAGGGTCACTATGGAGGACAGGAGTCAATGAAGCTTCCAGACAAAGACAGACTAGTAAGAAGGTGAGGAAGACCACTTCTGAATGGTTAGCCACTTAAAATCTTATGAAGAGCAGCAAAACATTGTCAAATATAGTACCAGAAGATGAGCCTCTCAGGTTAACAGTTAATCAAAATATGACTGGGGAAGAGCTGCCTTCTCTGAGTAGAGTTGACCATAATGACATAAATGGAGCAAGGCTTTGGGGACCTTCATTTGCTAGAGAGACATATTCAAAATGAGTAAAAACAGTTGCAAATATCCATTAATAATTGAAATGTGGAGTAAGTTAAATATGAATCTAACAAAACTACAAGTTGTCAAAAATGAAATGGAACACATAGCAATATATATTTTAGGCATTAGTGAGCTGAAATGGGCAGATATTGACCATTTTGAATCAGATAATCATTTTCTATGCCAGAAATGACAAATGGCAGAGAAATGGTAACACATTTATCATCAAAAAGATAATTTCAAGATCTATCTTAAAGTACAATGCTGTCTGTCATAGGATAATATCCCTACACCTGTAAGGGAAATCTGTTAATAGTACTATTATTCATATTTACCCCAAACCACTAAAGCCAATTAGTTTCAAATGATGAAACTGAAGCATTCTACTAACTTCTTCAGTCTGAAATTGATAAAACATGCAGTCAAGATGCATTGATAATTACTGGTAATTGGAAAGTTGGAAACAAAAAGTAAGGATCAGTAGTTAGGAAATATGGCCTTTGTGATAGAAATGATGCTGGAGATCGCATGACAGAATATTACTTATACTGTCAATAAGACAAATGATTTATTCACTGCAGATTACTTTTTTCAACAACATAACAGCAACTATGCATGTGAACTTCACCAGCTGGAATACACAGGTATCAACTTGACTGTATGTGTGGGAATATCATCAGTCATAACAAAGCCATAGGCTGCTTGTAGAACAGACATCAATTGCTCATATTCAAGTTCAGATTAAAGCAGAAGAAAATTAAAACAAGTTCATGAGGGTCAAAATTTGACTTAGAGTATATTCCACCTTAATTTAGAGACCCTCTCAAGAACAAATTTGATGCATTAAACACAAATGACTAAAGACCAGAAGAGCTGTGGGATGACATCAGGAACATAGACAGGAAAAAAAGAAAAAAAAAAGGTCATTAAGAAGACAGTCGAGAAAGAAAAGACCAACTGAAACTTGCTCTTGAACACAGAGAAGTCAAAACAACTGGAAGAAATAATGAATTAAAAGAGTTAAACAGTAAATTTCAAAGGGTAGCTCATGAAGACAAAGTCAATTATTATAATGAAATAAATGTGCAATTACCTGGAGTTACAAAACTAAAAACATTTCAGTATTTCTCAAGCTGAAAAGAACTGAAGAAAAAAAAAAAATCAAGCCTCGATTTACAATACTGATGAATTCTATGGGTTGAACTATTGAACGATGCAGAAAATATCAAAAGAGCTGAAAGGAACCAGAAGAATTAGACTGTGCCTGGTTAAGACTACCTCCCATCCTGAAAGGGATCACATTAGAGGGGCTCACATAGAGGAGAAAATGCAGAACAAAACTCAGAATTATTTAAAATAAATTAAGCAAATACTTTGTTTACTGGTCAGAAAGAGACTGGAGGAATCTGCGACTACAGCCCTCAGCCACTGTTAAGGTCCACAAAAGAACTTACCCTGGTGGCCCAATTTTCAGCCAAGCAGTAGTTAGGTTTTTAAGGCGTAACAACAACAGCACTAGCAAGTTATGCTCACCATTTAATGGTCAATTCTTTAAAATAAAAACAGCAATATTTTCGTAAGGACAAAGCTGAGAAGGGATAAGAAGGTGTGTGAAATGCAAGTAGGAATCACAGAGAAGAAGCAGTTTAACTGTTGTAGCATGGAGGGAATTATTATCATTGACAACCTGTGATATGCAGATGATACAACCTTGCTTACTGGAAGAGAAGAGGACTTGAAATATTTATTGATGAAGATCAAAGTCTGTTGCCTTCAGTATGAATTGCACCACAAAGTAAAGAAAAAGAAAATCGTTACAACCGGACCAATAAATAATGTCATGATCAATGGAGAAAAGACTGAAATTGTCAGACTTCATTTTGCTTGGATCCACAAACAAAACTCATGAAAGCAGCAGTCAAGACAGCAACAAATGCATCGAATTTGGCAAATGTGCTACAAAAGACCTCTTAAAAGTATTGAAGAGCAAAGATGTCACTCTGAAGACTAAGGGGCACTGGGCCCAAACCATGCCATTTTCATATACATGTGAAAGTTGGACAACGAATAAGAAAGGCCGTAGAAGATTTGATTCATTTGAATTGTGGTGCTGGAGAAGAATACTGAAAGTACCATGTACTGCTAGAAGAGCAAATGAATCGCATTGGAAGAAGTGCAGCCAGAATGTTCCTTACAAGTGAAAATGGCAAGACTTTGTCTCTGGTACTGTAGACATGTTGTCAGAACGTATCAGTTCCTGTAGGAAAACATTATGCTTGAAAAAGTGAACGGTCAGTGACAAAGAAGACCCTCATCAAAATGAACTGACAGGGTGGCAACATCAATTGGCTGAAACATAACAAAAATTGTAGAGGTGGTATAGGACCAGGTGATGTTTTGTTCTGTTGTGCATAGTGTCCCTTTGAGTCAGAACTGACGCAACAGCACTTAACAACAACAATAAAATCATAACATTAACCATAATCCACAAAGTGTGTCCACATACACCTGGGGACATGTAGGTAAGAACATCACCCATGTGTACAAATATTGCATGCTACATTAACTAACACATCACTAAACAGAAAATCGGGACAAGAGAGATTCCTCGCAACAGCACCTCCTCGTTTCTCTCAATCACTTCAAATGATGCAGGTAATAAAAAGACAAAAAAAAAAAAAGAATGCAACAAGCAGTTGGCAGTCCATATCAGCTAAGAAGTTAGCTGATGTGAAAACTCTTAAACTGAAATCCCATCCACAAGGTTGCATTTTTCTATCTATCCACAACAGTTTGCAAGGATCCATGCTAGTAAGATACCTCCTCAAAAGTAAAAAAACAAACAAACCTGATTCTATTGGGTTAATTCCAACTCATGATGACACCTTGTAATATAGAGTCAAACTGCTCCAGGAAGGGTTTTCTTGCCTGTAATCTTTATGGAAGCAGATTGCTAGCAAGTCCACAATGCTGCTGGGTGAGTCAAACCACCAATCTTTAGTTTAGTTGTTGTTGTTGTTGTTGTTGTTGTTATGTGCCGTGGAGTCGGTTCTGACTCATAGTGACCCTATATAGGGCAGGGTTTCCGAGGCTGTAAATCTTTACGGGAGCAGAAAGCCTCATCTTTCTCCCACGGAACAGCTGGTAGTTTCAAACTGCTGACCTTGCGGTTC